GTAATCAGAGCACGAATTTAGTGACCGGAAGTTCCGTGGTTCAAACTTGACCTCCGTCTCTCGACTTCCCCTGTCTAGGGCAACCTGTCAGTATCCCAGCCCTCGTGCAATCTTCGGGTGGAATGGCAAATAGGGACCAAAAGGGTGCTACAGATGTCTTGTGGTCAAAGTTTGGCCAATCAGAGGATACAGGATCGACCACGAAAAGTCTGGATGCAACGCACATTCCACAGCCGGGTCCGCGTGATCGTTCCTGTGCATACTTATATAAGCTGAAATCGCCTTTTGCTAATCGAGGTCAACGGTACTGTTGTCATTTTGTATCCAGATTGTCTGGAGGTGCAGACACCTCGGAAAACTTGTGAAAGGTTACCACTACCCACCCAGTCACTTTTCCCGTTCCTTTCACAATAAATCCTTGTAATAAATAGTATGAACCGCAGTGAAGCATCTGTGTTGAAACTTTGATGAGCTATCAATGAAGATGCTTTACACGCTGCATATGGCAAGCGAAAATCTTCTACTGCTGATGTCCTTCTTACAACTTCCCCACCTGACTCCATTGTATTAACTCTCGCTGTAAGTCTAAGCAAAAGGACTGACAATCGAAATTAACCAGCTCCGAGAATTATCGTAGAAGCACCAAATGCAGTTTGAAAAAGCGCAACTGAAGCTCTGATTCAGAGATTGCATATCCAAACAGCAGCACCCAGTACTAGTGGGTCCTCAACTGATGCGGCTACGGTCTCAATCACGGAGTTAACATTCGACCCTCCTTCTGGTAACACTTTTGACTCCTGGTTCACACGATACGAAGCCATTTTAAAGTTTGATGATGGATGAGAAGTTAGACTGTTGCTGCGAAAAATCAGCGCACCGGAGCATGAATGGTACATATTTATTCTCCCCAAGCAGTCCCGCGACCTCAGTTTTGATGAAACGGTTAGAACACTGTCTCAGATATTCGGCGACGAAACATCAGTGTCCAATATCCGTCACCAATGCCTCAAGCTGGTCAAGGAAGATTATGGGGATTTCATCACGTTTACCGTCACTGTCAATCGGGAATGCGGGCACTTCGAGCTCAGCTCAATGACGGAGAATCGGTTTAAGCTCCTAATTTTTGTATTCGGTCTCCAGTCATCCCAAGATGCTGACATCAGAAGCCAGCTACCTGGAGTAATTGAACAGGATGCTTAAATGACGTTGCAGAGCCTCACCACCGGATGTCTAAGCCTCATCAACCTGAAGCACGACACGGCCACGATCGGCCAGGCACCTGTTATTTCAAACATCCATAACAATAATAATAACCATTTAGCTGTAACACCCTTTCGGTGCTTAGCTACCATGCTATCCAAAGGAATCACGAGTGTTGGACACTACCAGGTCGCCCAAACCTAGAGAGAAGCCGAGGACCAGGGATCGGGTTCGAATACCGGACCTTGCGTTCAATAAATTCACCCTCTCTCCACTTGAGCCATCTCGCCTCCACTTCGGACAGCTGTGTAGACGCAATCAACTCCAGTATCTCAATGAAATCTGACAAACAGAGAAAGCCTTTCCCAATGTGATGGCATTGCGTGAGTGGCATTTTGCTCGTTATTGATGGTTCAAGCATCATAAATGTTCCAGGTGAAATCGTTATGGCCGAAAAATAAGATCTGTATCGACTGAGAAGCTGGAGCCACCCGCACACTACCGTGCAGTTCACAAATCGCGACCAAACTCGGTGACGGTGGCAAAGGTCATTTTGCTTGTCGAAGGAAGTTTGTGACGGCTCTTAGCGACACCATCCCAGTTCGTTTACGGGTTAATACGGCTGCATCGACGTCACACTGCTTAGTGAACGAAAGTGGAAACAAATTGGTAAGTCACATGTAAAACCGATTGACCATTGGGCCCTTCATGCATCTGGTGTTAAATTGAAATTCACCACCGAGGTCGACTATCCCACAGGCTTCAATGGCTCAACCGCACAGGCCATGTGATACCTGACGTCCTGCCCCAAGCTTGGTCTCGTGGGACTGGAATGGATCGATAAGCTGAATCAGATGAAAGCCATTACGAAGAGACCGGACAGTTTTTGCACCTCAGCGATCCGTTCAGCTATAATGAGGTTGTGTCCCCGCGACACTCACAGTCTCTCATACAAGGTTGATCAATGGTTAGAGATTTGACAAACAGTCTCCTGGGCCTCCAGCTTGAGGGTCGGCAAATGTGGCGACTTCCCCGTAAAAATGGTAGCGCATTTGCATTTGCCGCCAAACACCGCTGCCTTGCTGCCGCGCTCTCGAACCAAAGGCTTTGGCTGAAGACTCCAATCGTCCTCTGTCGAAGTGTGTGCATCCTGACAGTATCCCAGACCACGTACAACAATGATTCTATTGTAATAACGGTATTTTCCTCAGCTTAGTTCTGGGTCTGTGCCTCCAAAGCTGGCGTTCACGTCAAAACAACCACCAAAGCTGCAGTATATTGACGCTCAGAACAAAGCCAATGGCACTCGTACAGCGCTTCCTATATATGGCATAAGCGGCGACACCTTTCTGGAATTTCCGACGCCCCCTGGTGGCGGTCCTGGCAACCGGCATCTGGCTAATACTAAGTTATGAGTAGCTTTGGGTTTCCAACCAATCAGCTCTGGGCAAGCGTCTCTAAATTTTGGCCAATCCTGCGCGGAATAGGCTTCTCGGCCGTAGCAGCACCTGACTGCCAGTTGTGAATGATCCGTGTGGAACTCCGCTCAAATGTTCCCCCTTGAAGTAGGCCGACGTGGTTTCGAAGCGGAGGGTTCACTTCCAGGGGCCTTACTGGCTTGCGGATCCTATCCGTGCAGCGTCGCGATCGTAATCCGTGCTCATGCTGGACCTTCGACGAAGCAGTTGATGGATGTTCTGGGGTTGTGCTGAGATCTAATTGTCCAAAATAACCTATAGACTCAATTCGACTAGTCTTGTGGGCGAGACATACGTCTCCGTCTGCCTGATTTTCTTTGTGTACCGTATCCACCTGGCTGGACCAAATTGAATCACGTAGTTCATTTCGCCGCGCCGGCGAAGGATGAGTCCTGGAAATCACGCGGGTTGTCTGCCACCGTACTCAAGAACTAACACTCTCTGACCTTCGCTGATTGAGCACACAGTGGCTTTGTGATGCCTGCTCAACTGTTCTTGAATTCTGGTGTTTCGGTGGTTTCCTGTTTTTTCTGTGGCGGTGTTCGAACCCTCCTTGGAAGCAGTGCATTTGCTGATGTCATTCCGTCAGGCTATATGGGGTTTGGCGTCACTCGATATGCCAGCATAAACCTTCGCGAAGCATATTCTGGTAAACCCTTTTCTCTGGACTTCTGAAGCGCTTGCTTCAGAGTGTCAACGAAGCGTCCCACCTGGCCGTTCGACTGTGGATGAGACGCCGGAGGGCGGACATAAGTCACGCCATACTCTCGAGAATAGTTTGCGAACGCAAATGGCGTGAAGTGATTGCCGTAGTCAGACACAATAATCTCTGGCATTTCAGGGCGACTGAACAATCATCGGGGTTCCATGACTGTGGTTGGAGTTGGGGGCTGTTCGCCGGAAAAATTTCCGGCCGTTTGCCGCAAGCGTCGACCACGACCAAAATCTGTTGGCCGCCCACTGGGCCTGCATAATCAGTGTGAGGGCAGAACTAGGGTTCAGTCGGTTGCGGCCACGAGTGTAGGTAGATTTTCACGGGTGACTTAAATGCTTCAGAGTAAATCAGACAAGATTTTGAGGCTTGCTTGATCTGGGGGTGCACCAAGGTCGTTAGGCGTAGCTCCGCGCAAAGGCCTTCATCCTGTTTGCCCCCCGGGCGCCCTTTATGTAAGTGATGTAGGACGGCTTGTTGTAACTGCCTGCTGATGATAATGCGTTCTCAAAAAAACGCATCCTTCGACCAGTGACAGTACGCCATGCCGGCTGAAGTAAGGTCTCATTTCGCCTTTTGGACAGGTTTGCGACACTGATTGTGCCGGTACTTAATGACATGCTGCAGCATATGGTCTTGATCGGTAGCCTGGCAGACCAGGTCGTTCTTCACTCGGAGGATGCAGATCACCTTCGATACTACGTGCTTAACCCGTGGTTCCAACCTCTGGTTGCAATTTTTGCGGATACCGTAAATTGCGTGAAACGTGTCCCACTTAAACAAGCTTTATCCACTTCCCTGATCCTATTTGAAGCAGCTGGCGGGCTGGTACTAACTTGAAATCGTATCCCGGAGGCAGAGTGGCCTTCCACTGGAGGAGGTTGACAGTGCATCCCGATGTTCCTTTCTTCAGCAAAAAACAGCAAGATAGAGTTTGTGATAGGTCAATGGGGTGAACTGACGGCCTAGGGCATAGTATGAAACTTCTTGACGGCAAACGCGATTACCAGAGCTTCCTAATCTATCCGGGTATGGTCGCCCTCAGCTGATGTTAGGGATCTAGCTTCATGTGCAGTGACTTCCCGGCTGCTATCTGGAAATGCATGTGGAATCACTACGCCTCACAAATAATTCACTCACGTTGTCATTGAGGAACAGAAAGGGAAACCACGGGTGACAAAGTGGCGGTATCTGGGGTCTTCGTAGAACGCTGTGCAGGTCTGCATTCAGCCTCAGCATCTCCATCACACCCAATCATTCCGAGGAGTTACCACGAACGGCTTCAACCCGACTTGGTCTTCAAGGAGGACGATATTCGTCAACTGTTACACATGATCAAACCGTTCTGCACGTTGGGACCAGACGAGGTCCATCCAAGGATTCTGAGTGAGACAACATCCGCACTGCCATGGGGTTTCGTCAGTTGAAAGTCACGTTTCCTCTACTTGGAGGGAAGCGACTGTCACGCCAACCTACAAAGTTAGTGACGAGCTATCGTCCGACAACCACAGGCTTATAAGCCCCACTAGCATGTCGTGAAAGGTGATCGAACCGATCGATCCCAAGCGTGATAACCTCACCACCAACAGCCTGATATCTCAAGTTCAACAATGATCACTCCCAAGCAGTTCATGGGTGCCGAACGTGCTTGTATTCATGGACAGCTTACCCAAGCCAGGGTCGAGGGACTCATATCGGGTGCCATATTTTCCAATTTCACAAAGGCATTTGATCGGTCCCACACGTCCCGCTACACCACAAACGCGAGTCCTATGGGATTCAGGGTAAAATCCTACACTGAATCAAGGCGTTCCTATCAGACAGAACGTTCTAACTGATGGTAGGCTCGATCCTTCTCCGGCGCCCGTCTCAATTGGAGTTCTTAAAGGCTCCGCTTAGGGACCGCTGCAGTTTCTTACCGTTCATTGAATATGCCAACCAAATGGACTGCTCAGGGGGCACGAGGGACGAAATCTTTACTGAGCTGCTACAAAAATGCTCCCTGGCCTTTAAACTGTGAACTACGGAATGAATCTTGTGGTACTTTACCTTTTTTCCAGAGTGGCATTGCCTCCGAGTGGACCTAATTCTCATTTTTGCCCTGTTTTAACAATGTTTAGCCAACGGTTTTCCGCCATTAACTCACGAACGCACAACTGAGGCATGGCAAATGTCTTTCAAGCTCGGAGTGCACATTTCTATTGGACAACCCTTTTTCATTTCGGACAGTTGCTGTTCGAAATATCCTTCGTGCGACGATTGTTGACGCTCGATCTAGTACCCATTCCAAAAAACTGTTAGACGCGTTTCTAAGTGAGTCCTCGCGCTGGCAAGCTTATTGTCCCACGCTGAACGCTTAAAGAGCAGTGCCACACCGTTTTCCCCTGTGCCTTTCAGATGGACGGCGGCCACTGAACGTGAACCTGTGATGTTCATGCTGTGGGGCCTGAGTTCAGTGTAAAGATGTTTTCACGACAAATTTATTGGGAAAATTTTATGCAGAAACTTTATAACTCAAAGTGTGGTGCTAAAGGTACATTAACCATAGCTACTCAAAGCGACCAGAAAAAAGGCCCCATACAGGTACTCACAATGCTGGCGTTGAAAGGGACAGGCCGGATACTCCGTAACTCTGGAATATGCAAAAAACGTCATTCTTGTTTTTGAAGACATACCATTACATTTGCTTTCGGATGAAATAAACCACATCTTTTGGAGTCTGTGCCTACAAAAATAGGAACATTCCCCTGGACATGCCACAAAATAGGCCCTTCAAAATCCATACGGGGGTCCACGAAGTTGCGGAACGTTTTACGTACCTTGAAAGTTGCATCAGTACCAACTGTGCACGAAGGTAAAGTTCTTCCACGGACTTGCAAGGCCTAGGCTGCGTTGGCATAGTTAAGACACCTGCTTCATCAAAGCAGCGTTTCCTTAGTCCGATTGTGCTTGTGTCAGACGGTGTTATAGGCTCTTTTTTATTTGTCCGTCGGTTCCGGTCTGCTTGAGTTTAGGCACTGAGACAATTGTAATTATTCAGTACCACAGCTCAAATTGTTTGACTTATGAGAATCCGTAACGATCTGGTTAAAAGCAATATTTGGCCGTTCGATGGGGACATTTATCGGAGAATATGTGGGGCAACAGAGGCTGTGATTAGAAGTTTACGATTTTGAGTGCCAAAGGTGTATTGCAGAGTCAATGTGCTGACTTAATTGCTAAGTTTGGAGCGGTGAACATATTTTGGTGGACATTACAGGAAGAAGGGAATGAGGCATATTATGAAAATTCTGCGTACTTTCAGTGCGGCTCGCCTTCAAGTTTGGAGAACGCGTGCCTGGTGAGATATTGCTCAGTGTATTCCAGGTACTCGGCGCATGTCTTCGTTGTTATTTTCCCTCCAGTTTACCTGAATGCCAAAGTTGATTGCAGAGTCAATGTGCTGACTTAATTGCTAAGTTTGGAGCGGTGAACATATTTTGGTGGACATTACAGGAAGAAGGGAATGAGGCATATTATGAAAATTCTGCGTACTTTCAGTGCGGCTCGCCTTCAAGTTTGGAGAACGCGTGCCTGGTGAGATATTGCTCAGTGTATTCCAGGTACTCGGCGCATGTCTTCGTTGTTATTTTCCCTCCAGTTTACCTGAATGTGTCTCTGGCGTTGTAGGAACCTTGGAACGATTGTATTTGGCCAGAACTCTATCTCTTCAGTGTCTAAACTTATTCCTTTCTTCAAAATATCACTTTCAATTATGCCTGGCCGTACGGCAACAACTTTCCACCCTTAGCAGCACAAACAAATTCCTCTGAGCGCCTAGGCTGTCTTGAGGAAACATCGACATAATGTTTTAGAATTGGGCGGCATTTTGTGGAAAACTTAAAGTTTATCTTAACTGCAACAGCTTTGAAAAAAATTTGTTTAAGTGTACTCAAGTTCTACTTTGGGCGTGGAATTGGTATTTTTAACGGCTGCCATTGGTCAGCGTGATCTGCTTGAGAAGACAATGCGGGATTTTCGAAAAATTTTCCACGCGTATTTTTTCGTTTTTTTGTAATTGAAAATATTCTGAGGGTGCACTGACGATAGTTTAATCAGACTTCCCTGGCCCATTCTCAAGGTGGAGCTGCGATGCCCGACGAACGCAATGCAAGCTTCCTGTATACGCAACAGGCGTCCCACCAGTCTGAGTCAAGGAATTTGCAGTAGCCACCGAGCTTGGTTATTTTCCGTGTAAGCATGCGCTATACAGGATGCCGGAAAGGTCTCATCTTTATCGGTGTAATGAGTCGTTGGTTGTTCCATTGAAAGAATTAGCGGGCTAATAAACAGAAGTGGCAGTGCAAGTGCAGTATAATGGCCAGCACTCTTGAGTTGTGGCGCAAATTCAGTGGACTGAAAGGTCGTGGGAGGGTACGCTACGCGAACGGTCGAGAAATTGTAGAGAAGTGGTGAACTACGGGTAAATAATCGGGTTAGATATTACAATGCCGGTGCTGTCGCAACCATGTCGCATTTGTATCGGCAAACGGCCCTGAGAAGGATAGTTTTGGGTCAGTTTATTAGGGTCGTCAGGTCTATGAGGATTGGCGAGCGAATCGTAACAAAACAGGACCAATATGGAACAAAATATCCTTGTTTTATAGGCGCATTGTGATTCGTGGTTGCTATTTAGACAAGAAAAGATTGGCTATATCTGGAGCGAGGGGAAATGGGTCAAAATGGCGCCAGAGCATGAGTTAGCTAGTGGCTCGAACTAGCGAGTATCCGGGCGTTGTTAAAATTTCTAACAACCGCGACACTACTCCGTTCCAAAACCGATATTCGACGTTTAGGTAGAGGTAGTAGGATTCACAACATTTGGTCGGCGTGTGCGAGTCTGGCTATATGTAAATGTGAGGGACGTGCATGAGATGAATAGTGCACAGCTAAGGTCATTGGTAGTTGGGTAGTCGTCCATGAAGCTATGTCGAAAGGGCAGAGGTGTATGCAGGCTACTCTCAAAATCGTGGCGGAAGCGTACAGGCCTTTGTAGCTAGCCCGTGTGCCCGGATGGTTAGTTGTGAGCATATGGGGAGGAAGGGCTATCATGTTTTTGAGCGTGCTGGGGCAAAAAGGGGTAAGGAAACAATGGCAATTTTTTAGACGGTTCAGAAGGTCTCATTTAGAGTGGGTAGGGAAGCTACAGGAAAAGGCGAGTTACCTGTTAGAGTCCGCGGTGAGCAACAGCATACCGGCTGGGGTTATGGATGGCCGTTTCAATGTTACGTCGTGCGCAGAAGGAAGTGGAAGCTGCGTGTGTACAGGGCAATTGGTAATTCAATGATGTAAGGACAAGAGGTTGGAGCTAGGCATGAGGTGCACGGCCGTGCCACACGTTTGGACAATTAGGTTAATGCAGCAAGGTGCAATCACCACACAAGAAAGTGGACGGAGGTTCTGCAAAATTGACTGCATCACGCGCGTCACGCTAATTGGAATTATTGTCTTCATTAACTTGCACAAGAGGCGGGATTTTTAACCCATGAAATTAATATTTTGGATTCATGGGAGGATCTCCCTTGATATATATATATATATATATATATATATTAACAAAAAGGACAAG